CTGTTTAAGCGACTGTATGAAATGCTTGAATGTAAACATGTCCATTTTTATATTAGGCTTCCATATGAATGGGTACATTTTCTTTAGAAACTAAACAACATTAAAATAATGCAAAATACTACCCCGCTGCACTTTCAAATGATATAAAAGAAGAATGTTTGCATAGCGTTTTTCTTAAAATGCCAACACATTTTGCTCAATGTGCCCTCTGTTTTTGTTGTATATGTATTTTTGGCAACATACATTTTGTTTTTCCTCATTTCTATATACTATATGATATATTTAGTTATTTTCACTTGTTTGTACACCTGAATTATCAGTAATTATCAGTATCAATCGGTGTATGACATGTATTTTTAGCAGGAGGATATAGTATGAAAAATTGCAAAATAAATAATCATTCATCAATCAGTACTTTTTACTTTTAATACTTAAAAAAAACAAGTTTTTAGTACATTAAAAAACAAGTACTGTTGTAATTTTACCCAAGTAAAATTGAAAAGCAGGTCTATGGAGTAATATTGTATTAGGGTATCTGTACTTTTATGATTTGAATGCATGTAGTAATGGGAGAAACAAACCTTTTCAAAGCTTCGAATCATTTGAACCAATTGCATCGCAAAGCGATTCACTGTTTCGATTCACTCAAAACGCCACACGCTGGTCAAACCTGTGTAAAAGCAACAAAAACTCAGGCCAAAACATGCATAAAAACAGCTTTTACATACCCATTGCAAATGCTTTCTTGAAAGTATAATACATTAAAAATAACAAACAAAAAAAAAAAAAAAATTATTTTTAATTTGCATTGCTGGTTTTGTGTGTTTTATGGAGAGCTTGTCCCCTAATTTTAGGGAATATTTTGGGGAATAATAACGAAGCCTCGTTTACTGAAATCACGTGACTTTTGCAGTTTGACCCAAAGATTTTGAAGCTTCATGAAGCAAAAGTGCCTAGTTGCTTAGTATTTTTGTCTTGTTTTCTAATATAAATATCTGAACAATCTTGAATCAAGGTGCATTTATTTTGCAAGTAAAGTGGCTTAAGATATTAATTCTTGTTTTCTGAAAAAAAGTTATCAAAATGTTGTTAGTTTTTGCCTAATACGAGCAAAAATATCTGCCAACGGGGCAAGAAAAATAATCTTGTTTAGCCTTATTTTTCTTACGTCACTGGGAGATATTTTTGCTTGTTTTAAGCAAAAGCTAACAAAATTGTGATAACTTTTCAGAAAAAAAGCCACTTTACTTGCAAAATAAATGCACCTTGATTCAAGAATTTTTAGATATTTATACTAGAAAACAAGACAAATATTAACTAAGAAAATATTTTTTTGCAGTGTGAATGTTCATCATTATGGGCTGTGAATTCCATTTCATACGGACTTAAAGCAACAGACAGTCTAACTGAACTTGAATAACTTAAGCAACAAGCAAAGAATTTACAGTCTGCCATAAACGCAGAAGAACACTTGCAAATGAAGCAACACCACACGTTACACACAGTATAATCTTTTTTTTATTACAAGATGAGCTTGAACAGTTCTCCACCCATGTTTTTTTCCAAAGGTCCCTGTAGATTGAAGCCAATCTGGAGAAATCCTAGCGTTTGCTCAGTACAGTATTATACAGAAACTCGCCTTCAGATAAAACACAAACATCAGCACACTGAAACAGATCAAGTAGAGGAGGTTTCTGGAGACGCTGCTTGCTCTCGATGGACAGACGTGCATAAATGTGTGTCTGAAGCATCTAATGCCTGCTCGACCTACATTAGACACACCCATATAAAGATTTACTACAAAAATCGTCTGTACAAAAACTGCGCTTCCATTTTTTTTCTTGTTATAAATCTGTTGAATGAGTTGCCTGTGACAGACGGAATGGATGCTAGTAGAAAGGTTTCTAGAAAAGTTGAAGTTTATCTAAACGACAGAACTTTGGCTTGAGTCGTTGATCAGGACGAAGCATGGATTTTATTGCCGCCTTCAAGTCAAAAGTCATGTTAGAATGATTTGAATTGTTATGGGTTTAAAGGAATTCTTTTGTAAGCTTGCATTGATCATAATTATTGTGTTTGTTCACAGCATTTTGTTTTCTGCTAATGGAAGCGACATGGCTTTCTGTGACAAAATAAGATGCAGAACATTCGCTAAAAACGATTTCCCAGCGAACAAAAATATCTTCCTGTTAAGTTATGATGACGATATTGCTGAATGTTCAAAGCGTCCAGTTTTTCAAACGTGTTTTCTTGGTTACACCAATGTTAAGGGAACGTCTCATCGTTTTTAAACATGACGTTAAAGATACTTTTGGAACGTTCAAAGTAACAAAAAACATTGTGTATAAATAACGTTTTTGTGCTAATGTTTTGAGAACGTTATTAAAGAGCAGAGAACTTTCTTACTGGAAGAACGTTTGTTCATAGCTTTGCAAGCGTTTGTTTACAGTGGCAAGTTGGCATGGCAACTGTTTTATTTGATTACCATCGTGTTTTCAGACGCGTTCTGTATGAACGGACCCTTAAGGTTCTAGTTTGTGTAACAAACGTTCTCAGAACGTTGCAGGGAGGTTTTTGCTAAGATATAACTTGCCCATCGATGTAGTCATTAGATTTATACTGGTTACCGTCCAGTTATTTTTTGGGTGATTTTTTTGACTCTTTTTTTAATGGCTAAATTAAACTGTATTAGTCAAAAAGCATAAAATCACGAAACTGCGATTGCAGACATGCAATTTAACATGAATTTAGTTTAACAGAAATTACATTTTTAATCCTCATATTCTGTTTTTTGTTACCAAATTCTAATTATTTGAATGCGTAAAAACAACTTAATTAACATTTTATTTTTACAATCGCCCTATGAAAAGTGTTGTTGTTGTTTTTTTCAGAAATTGTGTATTTTAATTTTTTCTGGCTATCAAGTGAAGGAATAAAACATGAATTTAATTGATCTTTTAATCAAATGAAAGTTAAACTCTTTATTTTTTGGGGTTAAAAAAGGGGGTTTACTATTCAAATTAAAACATGGAAGAAATATTGTGTGATTATCCCTTAAAAAATGAAGTTTTAATAATGTTATTAAAACTGCACAACAGTAATAGGCCTGTATTTCCGTCACAATTTCAAGTTAAACCGAGCTTTTATTTTGACGGGTTGCCATGAGGACCTTTAAGTTTCTGTTTGTATACGATATAATGCTAGTTTTTCTCAAATTAAACGGTCAAATGCTCATGAAGTAAACAGTATTTTTGCAGTTTAATATTCATCAGGGCCCTATATTTAGGTTTTTGTTTAATAAACGAATACAGAACATTTTCTAATGGCTATTATTAGATTAGACTAATGTTCCCAGAATGTTCAGAAATTGTAAACCGAGACATGACTTCTTAATAAACGTAATTAGTTATACATCGTATTGAGAAGATGGGACGAAAAGCTCATTAAAAGACGTTAAATCTAGTTTTTTTTCGCCTTAATTACAAATGCATTTTCATATCAGAGTTTGTAATGTGATTCATATGGAGCGGGTCGGTTTGGGTCACGACTTATGGACTCTTTATTGAAGAATATGGGGAAAGTGTGTTTATCAGGCGCTCGTGAAGGCAGCAATAAAGGCAGCATATGAGTAAAAGCGATGGGTTTAAAACACTGAGCTAGCTTCGCAGAGAAAACGGAGAAAAGCAAGGTAAAATGAGAACACAAGTGATTGCTGATCTGTGAGGGATGCGGTTCTGAATCGCTCACGAATCCGGGTTTCCACAGGAAACATCTTCGTGTCCGTCGTTTGGACGAGAGGCGTCAGGTCATGGTCTCTTTCCCCGGGAGCCTCCTGTCGTTAAAGGTATGCATGTTAATCACCTCCTCTGTTTTGACGATGGCTTGCGGGTGAGGGGGCTTCTGTTTCCGCCGCCGCTGGCACTTCAGAGACACCCTGAGCTCCTCCAGCATCGCGCTGCAGAACGAGCGCTGCGCACACAAGAGCAGATCACAGACACACTTTGAGTGAGTCTCAGTCGTGGTCAGTGTCGGGGGAAAGTTACTCTAAAGTCATGCCTTACAATACTGCGTTACGCCCTAAAAAAGTAACTAATTACTAGGGATGTATCGATTCACTCAACTTTTACAGAATTATAAATTAAATGTGTCTTTTTATTATCGCTTGGACAAAATGCTGCACGTTTCTTTGTGAAACTGAAATATAACACTATAATAATATACTAATATAGCACTTGCATATCATTGCTCTTTTGTTGGTTCTGATTGCTTCCGTTGTCCTCATTTGTAAGTCGCTTTGGATAAACTACATTTTAATCAAATGTAAATGTACATAACAAAACTAAATTAAAATGTTAAAACAAGCCCCAAATCATATACATAAGTAACACAAATAAAAGCAATCTCTTCACAGGCTTCGTCTGTGCTCTTAACATTTAAAATGAGAGGCAACCGCTGCATTTCAATCAGGATCCAAACAAAGATGCTGCATGCATGCAATCAAGTTACTTTTAAAAGTCATGCATTACAATGTTGCGCTACTCCCTAAAAAAATAACTAATTACGTTACTTAGTTACTTTTTATGGAAAGTAACGCAATGATTGCGTTACTTTTGCGTTACTTTTTAAATATGAGCAGGGCTTGGTTGTTTCTAATATAAGAAGTTCTGTTTCTAGCAAATATAAAAGCCCTTTCACATCAAAAAGTGTAATGAATAAAGCTCAGGCTGAAGGAAACGTAATTCAGGTCTGTACAGTAGAACGCAGGAGAAGAAACACTCGTCAGCAATAAAAAAACTAAGCACAATTGTTAGTTTCTCTAAAGTCATTTGTGCTTATTAGTACGCTTGAACTGGATCAGCAAAGCTCAGCAGCAAAGACAATGGGATTAGATACATTTGTGTTATTTAACACATTTAATTGTTGCAGGTTTGTGTCATATTCTGAGTTTGCGTTTCACTGTTTTAATTCATTTTGATGAATGCTAAATCAGTTTTTTGTGAGTGGGATGAATTAATGCACATTCATCACGTTTAGTCTAGAGCTACAGTAACATGTTCACACAGCGCGCACAGCTCCTCTGCACGGGAAACACAGTAACTTTAACTACTTATTTGAAAGAGTAACTCAGATATTCTCTTGTAAATCAAAAAGTAATGCATTACTTTACTAGTCACTTGAAAAAAGTAATCTGATTACAAAACTGGCGTTAACATAAACACGTCTGCTTACATCAGGCCATTTTTAAAGCCACATTTGTTATGAAGCTCAACTGTTCATAAAATAACTTATTATTCTTTAATATGTTAGGTTTAAAATCCAAATAGTCGCTTTAGTGCTGTGAAAGCTGTTCTATGTGATGAATTCATTATTTTATTTTCAAAAAATAATGAATTACATTTTAGTAAATGACCCGTGTTATTTTAGTATAATTGGGTATTAATATTATTATTACTTTGAATTGGATTTTATATATATATATATTATATTTATTATTATTATTATAATTGGGGTTTAGTTTTATATTTTCCCTTTTCATTTTCATTTTAGTTCAATTTTTAGTTCATTTCATTGTGTGTTTTCATCTAATTTTTATTTCAGTCCAGTTAAATTGTAAAGCATTTCTCTAAAAACTCAGAGAAAACATTAACCTGTTAATATGAATTATATATAACTTTGAGTCCTCTTTTCAAGCAAGTAGTTGTCACATATAGATGAATCCTTATTAAAGCTACTGAAGTTATTCAGTCGAGAGCAATGAGTGATTTTTCTTGTTTGATTAGCATTAACGACAGACAGCAGCAGGTTTATTAGGCTGCTGTCACTTTAAGACCTAACATTCTACACTGTTTGTCTGATAAAGCTGTGAAAGAGCGACCTCTGGTGTTTGCGTCTGATACCTTCTCGATCTGCGCGTTCTGTTTGGATTTGTACAGCACCTCGCCGACGGCCACGAACACAGACAGCACCAGGCCGGCGGCGAGGACGATGAAGATGCCGCCGATGTTCTGCACGCCGAGAGCGCTGGCCTCCTTACTCTCCTCCTCCGGACAGCCGTTCCCCCTCCACCACTTCTCCTTCATCATGTGCAGCTTGCCCTCCTCCTGCAGCTGCAG